TTTTTCTTTTGTCATTTCCTTCTGTCTCTGGGAGAAATTCATCATCGCCAACAGCATCATCATCATCATCACCATCGTAGCCATCTTCCAAGAATTCATAGACGTCATCCCCAGCAATCAGAAATATGTCATGTAAGACACACGAAGCGACAACAATTTCGGGGGCATCTTCTATTCTGTTTATTTCCACCTCGGTTTTCCTTTTTCTGAAACTTTTTGAAAAGATGTCTCTTGAAGTACCAACTAGTGATGCCTTGAACCAAGACATATGGCCCTTCAGCCTGATGATGCCTCTCGGAAATTCGAGAGAATGTTAGCTAAACTGCTAGTGTGCTGCAGATGAGTGTGATCCAGCCAAACAATAGATTGAAGCTCTTTCGACTCAAATTCAGAAGTATCACAAAGACGAATTTGAGGCATACACCACCTATCAGAAGTTGGACAAGTTCTTCTTCAATTTCCTTGCTCAAAAGCCACACTTCAATGTACTGTGTAAAGTAGTGAAATTGGTTGAAGTGCTGTCGCATGGCCAAGCTGTCATTCAACATGGTTTGGCAAAGAAAAAAGAAATTCTTTCCTGCAAAATAGGAGAGGATACTCTGAAGCCATTTAGAACTGTTCATGATGGGGTGAGGCACATGGAATGTAAAATTCATGACATCCCAGTCAGCAAGGAATTGCTCAAATCCTGCAAGCAATTCCTCCAGAGGTATTCTTCCTTTTTGGAGGATCAGAAAAAAAGCCAAAAAAGAAAGTGAAGCTGAAAGAAATAGGCAAAAATTTGCTTTCTGAATTGAAGGAATGCCAGAAGAAGGCTAGAGTCAGAGGCATCAGCATTGTTAGACAAGGCAGATAATCTTTGTGCAGAAGCTGAAAAATAAAAGCCACAATTGGAATCTGGTCATAGAAGCAATTGTGGTAAGAGCTAAAGGATATCAGAAAAGAGAGGAAGCGGATAATGCTAAGAAGTGTCTTGCAGTGGCCTATTCGTTATCTTGATCAAAGATGCTAACACTTAAAGTTTTTTGGGGGGTATGTTCTTTAGTACAATTGCTAGATTCCGCTGTAATGCAAGCTCGAGTTGGTTTGAGACGGAAATCATGCACTTCGTTCTCTTTTATTTTCATTGTTTTCTTTCATTTCCAATGCTGTGAGCGGAGGTTGGAGGCCATTACCAGGACTAATTTGTGAATTTTTTTCTAATTCAATTGGTCAGGGAAATTTTACCTTTCTCAGGAAAAAAGTCAGCAAATTTCAAAATTCTTTGGCTGTGGCAACCATGGCTTTGTTCCCACTGACGTTTTATTACGTTATCACTTATTTTAACATAACGTCGATGGCTGCCGTACAGTTGAGTTGAGAGAGCGTACTTGTCTCTAAACTGGTATATCTTCGCTGTATCGACCTGCAAACCGAGGAATATTCTAGTCACTAGTTTTCCTTGTCTGAGGTTTTTCATATGCTGAGTCATCTCAGTTTTCCGAGCGAATTAGCCATTCAACGTCTTTGTTGTGCCCTTTGAAGCGTCGAAACTGAAAGGAAACTCGCTGATCTGCGAAGCTAAAGCCCTGTTCTTCTGAATGTCAAATCGTGCTGCTATTTTACGGTAACTATGGTTTACTTAATAAAGTAAAGCAAATCTTTCCCCTTGAGAACTTATTTTCGCAAACTACTCACTTGTCAAGCGCATCTCACCTACGCATTCCATTATTTCGCTTCTTAAACGTTAATTTATTCTCGCGAATCGAGTTTATATCATCGCGCGCAGTCTTAGCCAGCTGGAAACTCAAACGCCCAATCTTTCCAACTATATACCGCAAGGTGAGTGACGTCACGGAGCATACTGTGTTTCCTTGTTTTCATAAATAAAGTGTTTGAATTGATATTTGTGAATTGATATTTGTATGCATATTAGAGTTTTAGCCTAATTTGCACAATGAGGCACCACCAGAAAAAAATTTATAGCAAATTCTACATCGTTTAATATTTTTAACTAATTGGTGGTCTGTTTTGCTAGATAACTAGAGAAAAATTTTTCTTTCAAACGTTTAGGTCAATCAAGGTAACATTACTGCAAAATCAAAATTAATGTTGCATAAATTATAAAAAAAGTATCTTGTAAATTTCTTCATTGAAGTATCTTCTAGTTGCAGGAATTAGCAGCTTAATTAACCATCCAAGCTGAGCTTCTGACCCTAAGAGACTGTGACTACAGGTGTGTAGCTTGACAGCAGTGGTCAAGTAGAAAATAAGAACTATACAAAACAATGGAGAAAACACTCTTCTAGGTGTAGGAATAAGCAGCTTAATTCAACATCCAAGCTGCCCTCCAACCGTGAGGAGACTTTTGCCTAACAACAAGGCGCTGTGGGAGCGTATATTAGGGCGTGGTCGTTCTACGGGTTTGATACTTTGAACATGTCTTATTGCATCTAAAGAACTGTCATCATATATTATTTGAGAAGACAAATCCCTTACTCCACTTGTTTGCTGAACCACACAGCTTATACAGTATGTCCCAATCCACAACAAAAATAGTGTCATTTCATGACAATGTTTGAAAATATGCACATCTTCAATGCAGACATGCTTGGAGCCAAATTGCAACATAGGACAGAAGTGGTTACAGCCCGGAGAGTAAGGTTTATCTCAGCTCCACTGATACTGACAGATGTGTTTTCACACCCATCACTTTGTACAGTGTATTCCGGTTACTAACAAGGGCAAATAAAGTTCCTTAAGTCCAGTCAGTATCCACAAGGATTAATAAGAGAGTAACACATTGCATAAACTGCTATAGGGTAGCACTGTTTACAGGAACATTGGTAACTATTAACATTTGATATACTACAATGTTCAACATTGCTTGAGAAAAGATGAGGTTCAAAGGTGGCAATATGTACACCTTAAAGTTCATATATATCCTCATTCCTATGTAGAGTCTGAAAATAGTGTACTAATTTATGCATGGATGGTATTTCCAACAATACACATGTCCCTTCACTATGACTGTTATGATACATATCTCTAGCATGAGAATCAAATACATTATATCCCCCAGTCTCAATGCTGTAGATACCAACACCAATAATTGCCACCGTTAAAATGAATGAGTTGTAGTTCAGTGCCAATAGTGTTTCAAATGCTGTAACCTGTGAGTGGCATATACAGTAGTGATGGATGTTACAAGTATAACTGTCACTGCGTATTCAAGGTGGAAAAATTGCTGAAACACTGTAACCATTCCTGGCAATTCTGTTAACATTAACATAGATTGTCTTGCAAGCAGTGACAGACTAGAATATAATTAAATGCCAACAAAATCATTATTTGAGTCATATCATCAACTGAAGTAATCTTTGTTATCTTACTGTAAATTAAAGCGCACAGACGCATTGCGACACATTGTTGTCCAGCATTTTCCCCAAATACTGTAACATTTCCTTGACAGTATGGAGCATCAATTGTTTTTGCAGCATCTACATAAACTGAAGGTCCTAGATTCTTCTCTATATCAGTACAAAGCTTAAATTGGCCAAAATTAACCCGGTGATTCAAACTGTTGTAAGCACTATAAAATGGATAATTGCATGTACAGAGGGGCAAATTCTTGCTCTGATGCTTAGACGACAGATACACCTTCCCTCGTTTACGAACTAGTTTTGGAGTTGCCCCTTAAGTAAAAACCTCACACTGTTACAGTTACTTCTGTACCTGTTTATGTGCAAACCTTTTCTATTTTTAACGTAACAATGAATTTCAGACGACAATGGTGTATTTTTTCGAATACTCTTCCATACAAAAAGTGCCGAGTTTCCTGTAACAAGGATTGTAATTTGTTCATCGGTAGTCTGTAAGGTGCATGACGGTAACCGGTCATTTCGTTCCAAGTCAGATCGTTCCAATCAATAGTCTGCGCTCCCAATCTGTAGAGACTGTGGCTTCTAGTTGAAGGAATTAGCAGCTTAATTAGACGTTTCAACTGCGCTCCAGACCTGAACTGACTGTGGCTTCAAAGAGTAAAGATGACTTCACAAAAGCTGATGGGTGTAGGAAAAAGCAGCTTGATTGAAAATATTGGCTTAGCTCCTAACCTGAAGAGACTGTGGCTTGACAATGTGAAGATGACTCCACAAAAGGTGAACGGTGCAGGAATAGGCAGCCTGGTTAAACATGTGAGCTGTGCTCTCAACCTGAAGAAGCTGTTGTCCGTGCCTTGATTATGTGAAGATGACTCTACAAAACGTAATGGGTGTAGGAATAAGCAGCATCATTAAACATATGAGCTGCACACCCAACCTGAAGAAATTTTCTATGAAATGATTATGTCACGATAACTCCGCAAAAAGTGATGGGTGCAGGATTAAGCAGGTTGATTCAAAACACTAGCTGAGCTTCTAACCTGAAGAGACTGTGGCCTGATTATGTAAAGATAACTTCACAAAAGAGTAATGGGTGCAGGAATAAGCAGCTTGATTAAACATATCTGCTGCGCTCTTAACCTAAGAGTTTGTGGCTTGATTATGTAAAAATGACTCCACAAAAAGGAATGGGTGCAGGAATTAAAGGTTTGATACAACATCTCAACTGCGCTCCTCACCTGAAGAGATTGTGGCTTGAGAATGTAAACATGAGTCCACAAAAAGTGATGGCTGCAGGCATTAGCAGCTTAAACTCTTTGCTAGGGCTTTTAAGTCTGGATACTGTTTGAAGAAATATAGTATTTGTGATATTTTAACCACCAGAGACAGCAAATTATGGAACAAGATCACATCAAATACCACTGCACTTGATGATCTCTTACCGCCGAGACGTACTAGGTACTTACGCAGCAGGGGCCATGATTACATATTACCTAGAGTTCGTACCTAAAGTTTTAAATCCACTTTTGTAAACAGATGTCTTTTTAGCATTGTTTGCCATTAGTAGCTAGGTGTATTTTTTTATCTTGATTTGTTTCATATTTTATATTCATTGTAAATAAGGCACGGTTGATGGGTTAATAAAGACTATTACTTACTTACTTACTTACTTACTTA